CCCCCTTTTTTTTAAAGCCACCTTAACCAACCTTACTAAACCTTTTATTTTTTATGTTTTTATGAGTGAGAAGATGTTTGAGGAGTTTGTAAACCCAATGGCCCAGAAAACCCCAAATGCGTGCTCCTGTTATGTTAAAACCCCTCCCAAGATTTAAAATTTAATAACATATTGTGACTGCAAGGGAACATTTATGAAGGGGATTTTTCCGGGGGAAACCGGGAGGCTGGATTGAGTCCTGGGATCGGGAAAAAAGTTTTCTCACCTGAAGGAGGGGGGGTCCCTGTTGCAGTTTTATTAACCGGGTAGGTGTAAAACCAAACTTCTTTGGGAAAGACAGTAAAAAGGAGTGAAAGTGAAAGTTTTTCTATTCAGGCCACCCTGCCTTGGTGGGAAAAAGGCTGATGTGTTAAAAAAAAAAATTAAAAAAAAATTTCACACGAGCCCAAATTAGGGAAAAGAGCCCAAAAAAGGGACCTAATGAATGAAGCTATAGAAAGGGGGGGAGAGTGATTTCTTGTGTAGCCAACTTTTAAAAAAATATTTTGTTTGTATTTTTGACCCCCGGGGGGTTTTTGCCACCCAGGGTTACCCCCAAGGGAAAATTGTGCAAACATTGAGGACTGTCTGCCCTTTTTCCATTATTGGGCAGCTGTCCTCTCCCTTTTTTTTTTTTAAAGTAAAAAACTCAGTTTACATTATTTCTAGTATACAGTGGGAAACCCTTTTCTGGTGAGCTATCCATGTGTAGGTTTTTTTAATACAAGCAGTCAATTTGGCGGGTTTTTTGCTTCCATACGTGAGGGAAATTTCCAAAAGCGGCGGGGCCCCAAAGGCCCGGGGGTTTCCCTTTAATAGTGAAAGGGGCCCCCTTTCTTTTTATCTAGGGGAAAATTGGGTCTTAAATTTTTTCCCTTGGACTATTTTTATTAAAACCCTTTGGGGAATGTAGATGGAAAGTGCTTTTAAAAATACACCAAAAATGAAAGAAAAAACGGGAAAAACCCTAAATAATTTGGGAAATTTACTTCTCAGCAATTAGCCTCCCCCTTTGCGGTATTTCCCTTTTTGGGTTTAAAGGTTGTAATTTTAGTTTTTTTGGGCTCAATTGACAGAATGGAAAATATATTACAAAATAGATACAATTTTGATTGGGTTTTTCCCACAAAAGTACCTTGAAATTGAGCCCCCAAAGTAGGAGAAATGTTTGAAATTTTTTCCCCAAAAGTTTTAAAAGTAAACAATAGCTTTCCCAAAATGCAGTCCCTGAATGGGTTGACATTTTTTTAAAATTATTTTCAAAAAATGCCCTAGTTGCATAACCCGTGAAATTTTTTCTATTTTTTTTTGTGAATAAAAATTAAATTATTGTAAAATTATTTATATTGTAATAATTAATTATAATAATATAATAATAATTAATTTTATTTTAAAAAAAACCCAAAAATAAAAAACAAATTTTTCCCCAAAATTCCAGGGTTCCGGGGGTCAAAGGACCCCCCCGCAAAATTTTAAAAAACCGGGGAAGTTTGGTGCCCCCAAAAATTTTTGTAGGGAAAAATTCCAAAACTGCTTCCTTTAAATTTTTGAACCATGAACAAACATAAAAACATGGAAAAAGGGCGTAAATTGTACTAAATAAAAATCGTTATTTCCTTAAAAACAACCTGTAAAGTTTTTTAAATCCCTCGCCTCCAACCCCTGCAAATCTCCCCAACCCCCCCTCCGAAACCCCCACTGACAGCCAGCCCCCCCCACCCCTGTGTGGGGAGTGGGTTTTTTTTGTTCATTATTTGCTATTAAATACCCGTAAAAATAATGGGCAAACCCCTTTTAGTAGTATATTGGAATTGGGGTTTCGGAAGGTATTGGAAGGTGACCTATGTGTTTTTTCCCCCTTGCCCCAGCCCCCCGGGAAACAACATTTGTGCACTGTAATAAAAATAATAAAAAAAAATAAAAAAATAAAAAAAATAATAATAAAAAAAAAATAAAAAAAATAATAATAATAATAATATAATAAAAATAATAATAATAATATAATAAAAAAAAATAATTTAAAAATTTAAAAATAATAATAATAATAAATA